CACTAACTTCGCCGACAAGTGGCGGCCGCTCAGTCGGTATAGTTCGCTTGCGGACTAAAGGCCACGGACTTCTTTATTGTCAGCGCAAGAGAAGTCGATTTAGCAAAACTATAACACTTCTGATTTGTGTTCTGGAGGTAAGCAGTTCGAACCTTGGCCCGAAACTAACTATACTGACTGAGGTTCTTCCTGATTTGAATTAGTCCCTCCAAGTAGACCCAAAGGATCATATTTCAAATTAGGCCATCATAGCTCCCTTACAAATCATTTCTATTCATTATTCACTAATCATTATACAAGTCGAAGCCATACAGTTCGAATTAAATAATCCGCAAATAAAAGTTCTATTGTGTGCGTTAATGTAACACCCTGTCAGTATGAAGATCATATGGCGCTGAATAGTAGGATACAGTGACTGATGAATAGAGAAGGATTTCGAAGGAAGCGGTCTAGGCCTATTCAAATACTCGTACTATCCAGAATATAAGATTTGAGGTTTTCACGGTGACGACTATGAAGAATGCCGTCTTCTGGGAAGTGGCGCCGTGTAGATCTTGTGTGAACCTATGTTTCGGAGAAATATATCGCCTCCATCTTCAGGGTAGAAAAATCCGCGAACTCTGAACCAGAGTGAGCAAGTTGCTGCAGGCTACGTCACATCCCAGAAGACGACATTCTTTACTGTCCAGGAATTTTTCTGGTGGAAATGAAGAAAATCATGAAACACAATCCGGAGAGCCGGTACCATGGGTGAGATTCGAATCGACTATCTCCCGAATACGGTCCAGAACGTTACAGCTATGTCAACCCACGTGATTGACGCTAGTAATAGCATCGTTGAATAAATTATAAATAGAAAATAAATAACAGAATAGTTCGAGGGAAAACTGGAGGGACCAGCTGTGCACTTTATACAAAAAAAAAAAAAAAGATCCTTAAAGAACAAAGAATAGGCGACAGGTGGGTTAAATGTTGCTCCGTAGCTTCGCTGTGCTCCGCGCCGTGAATGAACAGGTTAGAGAAGAAAGGCCAACCTGCTAAGGAATGCATTCCTTAACGAGAGTAATTATATCGTCCGCAAACGGAACGAGCGTAAGATAAAACTGCAATAAGAAAAAAAAAAAAAAGCTGAGAATTCAAACAGTCCAAAACAAAACCAATCCAACTGCCTCACTAAGAGTCTAAAATCAGGGGTCGGCAATTTACGACGCGTGTACCATTGAGTGACACGCAAAAAAAAAAAAAGTTTTAGAATACCCTCCAGTACAAGGTGATCACAAATTACTTTTACAACTTTCAGAAATATGTAACGTGTTTACCCGGCGCCGGTGGGGGTGGCAGGTCCCGCCGCCGCCGCGTACTTGTTACTAAAAACTCTCACTAAGGCCACTGAGAGTCAGGGGTTCGTCTCGGTGCAGGAGCTGACGCTGAAGCCCGAGATTAAACATACCACAATCCGCACGTTGATAACAATACTAACCAAGTTTATTGAAGAAATGAAACACAAGAAAGAAATACAGTAGTTTTACATTTAGAAAGAAAGAATGAGACCCTCGCCTGAGGCGAGCTGCCTTGTGTCTGCCCAGCCTAGGGCTTTGTTCCCAGAGAACCACCACGTGCTACAGTGTTTTTTAGGTGGCTATTCAGCCTCGCATACGGCCAGCGATGGGACCACTGGTCGTATCTCAATGTTTACTGGTGAAGGGGTAAGGCCGCATACCGATCTTTCTAGCTCGAAATAACACCGTGTGTGGTCCCTTTAGGACTGCTTATATGCAAAGTATTCTTAATATCAAATAGTTATACATTTAAAAGTTACAATTATTGAACGGGGGTCATATATGACAACTAAAAGGTAAAGCTATCCCTCTAACATGCCGTGGAGGCCCATAGGGTTGTGAGACGTCAGGCTCCCATATTTTCTTCAGACAATCGGCTCAGAGATGGCGGTGAGGTTGTCAGCCTTACGCTTCGACCGCCCATTACCCTCCAGGAAGATTCCTGGTACTCACATCTGTTAGTGGGTGAGTCGATTCTAGGGCCATAGTGCGGCTGGAAGGTTTAGGACAATTAGAAACAAAAATCCTCCTCATCGGGACTCGAATCCGCGACCTTGCGGCTTGTAGAACAGTGCCTCAACCAACTACGCTACCGTGTGCCCATTATAAAATAATCAGGTAAAATAATACATCCGAAATTACAGACATCAGATAATAATTGTAAACATTTTGAATCAACGCATGTAATTTCGTAGGCTACACACAGATGTCACTGTATAACTAACTCTACGCTACTGCTTAAGGCTTAAAAAGTACAGGACCGTATTTTGGTGTCTATGGCAGAAGTGTCAACAAACCTGAACAAATATTTATCGATGGGCTGGGCTACTCGGTTCAGAGGAACCTGATTCAGAAGTGCTGCTCCATCTCTGCATTATAATTGTGTATTTATCTTCAGAATCGTCAGCATCTTCGCTCTCACCCAACAGAACGCACAAACATTCCAAGCAGAAAATATTAGCTTAGTGTTTACGCACTTGCCCGAAGATGTTACTTCATTCAAATTCATTCCATTAACGAGACAAGGATCGGAACACTTCTTGTTGCAAAGAACTTGTATCGAGCAGAGCTGTGTAGCGCGGTTGCTTGAGGCGTTATGCTACAAGCCGGAAGGTAGCGGGTTCCATTCCCGATGAACACACTGAATTCTTCAATTGATTTAATCCTTCCAGCCGCACTATGGCCCTGGCATCGACTCAGCCTCTAACAGAAATGAGAACCAGGAATCTTCCTCGGGGGTAAAGGGCGGCCGGCGCGTAGGGCTGACAACCTCACAGCCATCTATGAGCCGATCGTCTAGAAAATGTGGGAGCCTCGACGTCTCAGAGCCCTATGGGCCTCTACGGCTTGTTACAGGGATAGCTTTAGCTTTTTACCAGTACGGAATGCGAGAGCTGCCTCATCATTAGAAATTCTATATTTTTTTTTTCACACAGTATGTTTATATTCTGTGTGATTCTCAGAAAAAGCACATTTATTTACCTAAATATATTTAACTAGCCGGTCACGGTGGCCTCGCGATATAATGCGTGAACCGTCTTCGCCCGCTCGAACACTGGGTTCGTGGGTTGGAATCCCATTCGAGGCATAGATTTCTGTGTGTAGGTAGCGGCCTTGCGACGGGCTGATCCCCCGTCCATGGAGTCATACCGACTGTGTATAGATTAGGAAGCTGATGAAGCGGCCGAGGTCCACAAGGGCTGTAGAGCGATAGATGTAACCAGCGGGCGGAGAGTTAATGTCTTCTGAGATGTGACATCGCACAGTCCGGTAGACGTCGACTGACGTTTCGTATGAATATAATGCTTTCGTCTTCAAGTAGATGTGTATGCTAAAAAGGAAATCTACAAGAAGCAAGCCGCATCACCTCACATTTCGATACTGAAGACGTAGACAGTATCTTCCACCGAAACGTCGGTGGACTTCTCGGACTAAACGATGTTAAATCGCTTCTGTGAGAACTTCACATTTGACATAACCAGTGTGTGTTCGTAATATTGAGACAATGTGTTTTCTAAAAGCCGGTCACACTGGCCGCGCAGTCTAAGGCATGAAATGTCTTCGCTCGCTCGGACTCTGGAATCGTGGGTTCGAATCCCACTCAGGACATGGATGTCTGGTGTGTGTGGATGCATGTATTCTGTGATTAGGTAGCGGCCTTGCGACGGGCTGATCCCCCATTCAGAGGGTCCTATCATCTGTAAAAAATGATTACGGAACTGAATAAGAGGCCTGGGCCCTAAATGGGCTGGAAGAGCCATTGTTAACAACAACGTTTTGTATAAAGTGAGAATTTAATTTTTAATAATATTTGGGAATAAATTTCAAGCTTTAAAATGTTAAACACACTAAATAAGTCCATCAAGTCTTTGGAATTTTTAGGATGTTTTATCAAATGCGAAGATTAGTCTGACTGTATCGAAAGAAGTGAGACGATAGTAGTAAAGGACGGAGGTTAGGGATATAGAAGGCAGACAATGCCTACTTCAATGTATTATTTCGTCATGAGGACAAGGCCGACAAAAACTACGAAAAATATGGCTCCAAATATCCAGTGACATGGTTGAGTCTAACCCAAATGAGCCCAGAATGAAAAATCTAGTGTGATGTGCTTCTCACGAGTCCTGCGCTTCAGGTCACTTCATCTTCTTTCGTCTGATCACATTTAAAAGATTCTGTGAAGGCTATAAATTACCAGGCTCATAATGATGTAATTTCTAACCTATTCACAAACAACAGAAAGAAAAACAATGCCCTCTTTATTCTGAAACGTCATGTGGACACTGACTCTCTTTTTCCGCAAGTCTCTGTGGTATTCCAGTCTTTGTGGCGCGTCTTACCAGACCATTATTAATGGAGTTGTTACCACAGAGCCACAGAACTAATCAATGATCCGCCATTACGCACCACGAAGACTACTTAGAGAACCAAACCTTCTACAACAACCAGTTCATTTTTCAGTCCGATAAGACTGAAGTTAACTTCAGAGTGTGGTCTTCTGGGTAGTGACATCGTGTAGTTTTCTGTAAGGATGACGAAGTTTCGGAGGAACATACTGCTTCTGTCCTCAGGGTTAAAATGTGGATGTTATATAGACTGTGAGAAAGGTTGTTACTGAGAGACAAGGTAGGAGATAAATAAATGGAACGGTGGGTAAGAAAACAGTCTCATTACGTGTTTTAACCCTGAAGATAGAGGTAACATATTCCTCCGCTGAAATACTACATGGCATCACAACACAAAAGACCATAACATGAATAACCACCGCTGTGAAGACCTCATAACGTATGGAATACTGGAAACACTTCATCAAGGAGAGATGGGTTATGATCATGCGAAGGCCAGCGAGCTACAGTGGACAAGAATGTAAGAGAAAGTTAAGATATTCAAGGAAGATATGTCCTCCAAGACCCGACCAATTGTGTCTCCCTGACAGGCTGGGCACAACGGTCGAGCTTCTAACTTTCAATGCCGTCAGACTGGTGAAAGACAAGCACACGAATGTTGTGGGCACAGCGACTCACAGAATACCAAGATATACTTACGGATCCAGTGTATTAAGTCAGATCAAATAATTTGATATACAGCTGAAACTGCGATAAGTAATATATTTCTTTTTCCTTCAGAAAATGTAATAAAATACAGTGCAGGCTTACAGAATTAAAGAGACTTTGGTGTTGACAGAAGTGAAGTTGTTACTTGTTATGAATCATTGAAAGTGGAGTTCCTTCAAGTGTTAAAAATAATTTAACTCTGCGTGTGAGGAAAATATGATGTGTTTATGAAGGCGAAATAGGGTACATGCAGATGAGTGAACATACAATTTTAAGAGATCTTTAAAGGTAAACTATTACGATATTCGAAACTATTTTTGATACTACTAAGGATAATCAACATTTAGCATCGCTCTACCAAGCTGTCACTTTATTTAACCACTATTTAAACCATTTGCTGCATAACGATCACTATACAGGGTGATTCACGAAGTTTTTCCCCGGCGTATGGTTTTTTTCCTGGGGTTATTTCCTGCAAAATTTCCTTATAAACTTGTGGTCGATTTTCAATAGTTACGGAGAAACAATAGAGTTTCGAAACGCATCATTGTGAATGCAGCGCTATGCTTCAGCGTGGGCGACCATACGTTCCAGTCAGCTATGTCAGCAGATAAGGTAGACCGGTTTGAATGTTGCGTGTAGGTAGATAGTCAGAGCGGTTCATAAGCGTGCGACGCATTGTGTTGACGTGCAGGGAGACATTTTTGAAAATCTTATGTAAATCCAGTCGTCTTCTAAAGCACTACAGTTTAAAGGAAACAGATTGATAGAAGGGTGTGATATGCAACCATTGGTATGTTTACAGAATGGGATGCTGAAAATAATGTAATTTTGTAACACAAAATAGACGAAAAATGTTGCACAATGCAAAATTAAGAAATAAAAAAAAAATGGTTTTAGAATGCTTCTTTTCTAAAACATTAACGATTTAAAAAGTGTTTGTATTGTGTTTCTAATTTGTTTTGACTGAAATTCGAGGAAAAAGGATTTTTCGCCAATTTTCAAATTACTGTATCTCTTTAATTATGAGTTGGATACCATTAGTATATTAACATTTTTTGTTCCAAATTACCTCAAGAATGCCATCCCTAAGTGGGGGTAAAACTTCGTGAATCACCCTGTATATACCACTTGCTTTAACATTTCAAAATCTTTGATTTTGTCCACAGAGTTTATTCAGTGTTTCCAAATGTTCTAGTTCCTATCTCAAAGCAAGGAACAACCTGTTAATGCTGTTCAATAAATAATCATTATTACAATCATGTGAATCACATGACAAAGTATGTGACACAACTATTCTGTGTGAGAAAAATTAAAAAAATTCTAATGTTGAATGAGGTGGTACACATAATTACCACTACACTTCAATGTATTAGATACTACGCCCCAATTTTCATCATTTAAAGCACGAAATTTACCTAAATAATATTTTAAAATTGTTTTGTACCTCACAGGAAACACACTACGTCTTCGCTACAAAGCCCAATCGGTTTATGTTGTTTAGGGAAACAGTCGCTGTTTATTGTGAGAACCACATGGAACACACAAATAATATAGATATTCAGTCCGTACCTCACAGGAAACACATTACGTCTCCTCTACAAAGACCAACCGGTTAATGCTGTTTAGGGAAACAGTCGCTGTTTATTGTGAGAACCATACGGAACACACAAATAATATAGATATTCAGTCCGTACCTCACAGGAAACACATTACGTCTCCTCTACAAAGCCCAACCGGTTAATGTTATTTAGGGAAACAGTCGCTGTTTATTGTGAGAACCGTACGGAACGCACAAATACACTACGTTGGAAAATCCCCTAATCTACTGAATACTGAAGCAGGTGATACAAATATGTACTGTTACTTTTCAAATGTTAAGTGCTAAAATACTCAGAACTTTGCACAATTCCCAACGGTGAACTATGAGCACCAACAGGGGTGAAGGGGAAAGCCTGTAATTCACTCCCAGCCCCCGAATTGCTGTAAGAAAATATCTGGATTGAAAAAGAAATTAAATATACCAAATATGAAATCCAAAAATTAAAATTATTTTTCATTTTCTTCTGTCCTGAAATAGCTGAGTCGGTATAGCAACAGTCTACGGGCTGGACGACCGGAGTTCGATTGCCGGTAGGGCCAAGAAAATTGTTCTCTATTCCACCGTCCAAGCTGGAGTTCGATTCCGGAAGGGGCAAGAATTTTCTCTTCTCCGCGTTGTCTAGACAGGCTCTGGGGGTCCACCCAACCTCTTATTTAATGGGTACCAGGGGGGGGGCAAAGCAGCCGAGGCGTGAAGCTGACCTTTCATCTCCAACTAGTGTCGAGGTCAAGAAAATGTGGATCTATACAACCATTCCCCATACGCCTTCATGGCGTAATGCTTAATTAGTTAAGCACAAGGGTAAATTTACCATTTACTTCAAAGCGTCCAGACTGGCTCTGGGGCCCACTCAGCTTTCAATAAAACAGGTACCGGGGGCTCTTTCACCGGGAAGTAAAATGACCTGGGAGTGAAGCTGACCACTCACCTCCATTTAATGCCGAGGTTAAGAATGATGGAGCTGTACCTCCAACCCCCCATACATATTCGTGGCATGGTTCTTAATTAAATGAGCACAGGAACAATATTTTTTTTACCTTTACCTTCTGTCTTGAATACTCAGGGATTTCAGTAAAAATTTTCTTGAAATCCTTTTTTTTTTTTTTTTTTATCGCTTAGTGGGGGGTGGAGTCCAACTGGGTCCACTCGCACGGTGGCCACTGATTGGCCTATTGTACCTGTCCCGGGTGATTATGATGGAGAATTTGGTGGAATGAAGATTGGCAGGGGAAACCGAAGTACTCGGAGAAAATCCGCCCCAGTGCCACTTTGTCCGCCACAAATCCCACTTGACCAGACCCGGGATCGAACCCGTGCAGCCGCGGTGGGAAGCCAGTGACTAATCGCTTGAGCTATGGCGCGGCCATCTTCAAATCCTTACTCTTAAATCTGTAAGCATACTTTCTGTCTGACCCCACACTCACCCATCCCTCGCGGCCTCCGTTCATTGGACATGGCGGCATAACTCGACGCATGTAAAGTAGGATATATGGAGCATAGAAATGTATTTGGACACACATTAGCAAAAGCTCGTATGTTAAATCCCGCACGAATCAGCACCAGAGTTCAGAATCATTTTACAGCCCCCCCCCCCACACTGGGCGGGTATGTGCAATGCTACGGCTTTACCTTACAGTTAAAGATGTTGAGAGGACTAGCGCTGATGTGCCTCGTGGTTTCCATAGCAACGTGCCTACACAGGAGCAGCAGTCGTCAACAAAGGAAGGCAAACACTTACGTGACTAGAAAAGATTCCGAGATAATCATTGACAACAATGAAAAACCGGCCGTGTCATACGTCAGACTCCATCCAGGGTAAGTCTCATAATGCGCTTATTTTTGTTTAGCAATCATCCAGAAGAATTTGTTGCATGTGGATGTTTGTCGCCCTTCGTACCGAACAAATTATATTGGAACTCTTACCAAGTAGCTACATAATTCGCTATAACGTGCCGCAAGCGCTCATGGAAAAGAAATGTAAATAATATAAATCAGGGTTCTCCAACTTCACACCATTGTCAAAGCTACGCCACATCTAAATAACTGTCCACAGGACATGAGATAATCGAAATGTTTGTTTCCAAATACACAGATATTAACACGTATTCTACCGCCATATTGTGTACAGAATACTCTACTGGGTTTTAGTCTCACAACATATATATCATCCTAAGACAATTATACGCCGGTCACGGTAGCCGAGAGGTCTAAGGCATGCACTGTTTTCGCTCGCTCGGAAGCTGGGATCGTGGGTTCGAATCCCGCTCAGGGCATGGATGTTTGTGTGCGTTTTTCTGTGTTTGTCTACAGGTAGAGGCCTTGCGACGAGCTAATCACTCGCCCAAGGAGTCCTACCGTATGTGTAAGATCTAGTAAACCGAAGTGAACGGAAGTTCATGGAGGTAGGCCTAGGCTCACTGGGGCTGTAGTGCCAAGGGAAAAAGACAATTATACCGTTCCTACACTACGACATGTTTCGACCACTATTTCTGGCCACCATCAGTAGATCTTGTAGATATCTTGACGTTATGCTCATAGTGCGTATTTGTGTAGTACTAAACACAAAAGAACAAAACATGAAAATCGAAAATACGCATATGTGTGACGTGAGAACACATACGCCAACAGAATCTTGTTCTACCGTTCTCAACAGCAAAAATCACTACACAGAACCCAGGATTACATGTCTACATAAAATAAAAAATAACAAAATTGTAATAACAGGAATACTAGTTAAAAAATATTGGTCTATGAAGAATGCCGTCTTCTGGGATGTGGTGCCGTGTAGATATTGTGTAAACCGACGTTTCGAATGATACGATAAAAAATGTAAAGCTATTTCTGTAACGACCGTGGAGGCCCATAGGATTGTTAGACGTCGAGGCTCCCACATTTCCTAGACAGTAGGCTCACAGAGGGCGGTGACGTCAGCCTTACTTGCCGGCCGCCCTATACCCCCAGGAAGATTCTTGGTACTCATTTCTATTAGAGGTTGAGTCGAACCCAGGTTCATGGAACGGCTGGAAGGAGTAGGCCATGGCCTCATTAGGAATCGAACCCGCGACCTTCCGGCTTGTAGCGTAGTGCCTCAACCAACTACGCTACCGCGTGCCCCCTACCCCAATGAAAGGGTTATTAGTGAGCACTTACCTCGAGAAAATTAGGAAGAAAGTGAGCACTGCCTGATCGAGGTACTATCCGAACATATGCCTGGAAGGATTAAGAAAACCCACGAGAGATTCCAGTGAAAATGTCCAGTGATCCGGAAGAGATTCGATTGGTTATACATCAACCTGCTGGTTGAAAAATTCAATGAATTTGACTCTGAGAAACACAGAATGTTACCAATTTGAGAGCTGTGGACAAATATTCTCCTGTACAGTAAAAACAAAACAAATATTGGTTTGTGTATATTTATCTGTGTAGTAGCGGCTCGAAGTAAGTGGGAAAGAGAGCCATCTGTCAGTGAAAAAATATATCGAGATTTTATGTACTTCATATGGCTGTCAAAACACCCTCGTATAGAGGGCGTACTCCCAAGAGGGGAAAAACTTTGACATGTATTCAGGGGGATGTAAGAACACCCCGAAGGGCAGCACAAAATCGGCTCAAATGCAGCCGGTGTGCTGGAAGTTGGACAGCCCTCCTATAAATCATGTTAAGACCATTAACCTTACAAAGAGAACATGAGACGCAACTCACTCAGCAAAGTTCACCCCGCGTGCTTGATTGCCTATGGCTTCGGCGTAGATTGTAACATAAAACGTGTATCTATCAATTGTATCGGCATACGAATCGATTTTCTTTAATTATCTCGAAACCCGTAAGACGTACAGAAAAAAATGTATTTAACATAAAATGTGTGCTACATTCTTATCTACAATTTTTGTTAGAAACATTTTTATGCTCAGTTAATATATAACGAGTTATGCTCGATATGCTCGCAGATACGCGCGCAGGTCTTCATGCAACATGTCAGTTGTGGATGACCAATTTTAACCAAAACTGGAATGTGATTTTAGTAAAAAAATCTGAAATATTAAGTTTACGAAAATTCGTTCAATGGTTTCAAGTTGATACAGAAATGCCGACGGAAAGGCAAAACAGTGAAGCTAATAAAAGCGTTTTTGTAAATGTTCGTTGTCCAGAGGGCCAAAAAAAGAAGCTACTAAACTTTTCCCCAAAACAAGGCCAAGTTTAATGATGAAGTAGTAAATTAAATTAACAATAATTTAATAACATAAGATTTGGGGTTATGACTGCAGTGGCTGTTAAGATATAGTCCTATGGATTGTGACTTCGTGTAGTTTGGTAGATATGTACCACTCTTCTACCCTAAGATAGAGGAAGTACGCGTCCACCTACCAACCTACACGGCATCACATCTCAGAGAACTGTAATCATAATATAATAAAATCTGTCATCTAAAATAAGCATATACCACGGTAGCTCAGTCATTTATTGTCTAAGTAGCGATGGGTGGACGAGCGGTATTCGCCAGTTGCTCTGGGGCCACATAGTCAGTCACTCACTTAATTCGATTCTACTATAACCACGTTTCGGAAGAAATTGATGCCTACATCTTCACGGTAGAAGTGATGCTAGTTTGGATGTGGATGGTGTGTAGAGGAGGATTGGCCAAGAACGGGCAACATGACGCCTTATTAAGAGTATTACCTTTTAGGATATACAGAGCGGTAGAAATTTGCCGACGTTTCGAAAAATCGTATTGCCTCCATCTTCAGAGCCGAGGCAGGCTTTGCTCGTCCTGCTTAATAAAGTAACTATCACGCTATGAAGACGCATGAGGAAGCTGCGGTACATCACGTATTCTTAACCTCTGCACGAGGCGAATGATTAGTTTCACGCTCCGGCCGCTTTACTTCCAGAGAGAGAATTCCCAATACTCATTAGATAGTAGGTTGGGTGAGAGACAGAGCTAGAAGCTGTGGTAAAAGGTAAAGTTATCCATGTAACAGGCCGTGGAGGCCCATAGGTTTGTGAGACGTCGAGGCTTCCACATTTTCTAGATAATCGACTAGCAGATGGCTGTGAGGTTGTTAGCCTTACGCGCCGGCCGCTCTTTACCCCCAGGAAGATTCCTGGTACTAATTTCTGACGAAAAGAGAAAAAATTTCCTCCCCTTGACAGGGATCAAGCCTCGATTCTTGGGTCGTCCAGCTTGTAGCTGTAACAAGTCTTAAATAACTGGTCACATCATCCTAAAAAAATTAAGGAATCCTAATTAGGACATTGTCAGTGAAGCCACAGCAGAAAGGAAACTTTTCCGAAACGTCATCCTTAAGGACGAAGAGCAGGCCGAGTTGAGTTAAAATTACTGCCTTGTGCTAGGAGAAAGCGTTCCTGCGGGATGCAGGTATGAGACTTCTATGATATATCCTTAATACGAATTCTGTATAATATTTTAATTTCACAGCACTCCCATAGCCCAAACTATACACAGGCAGATTAATTAACAAAAAGTAGAAAGGACGTGAAGGAATCTATCGTAACGTAATATACGGTAATGTCCCAGCAGCTGCAAGAAGGGGCTGAAGAAAACTATGAAGAATCTTAGTCAAGATAGTCGACGTTGCTGGCGAAATTTGAACCAGGCATTTCCCGAATATGAAGCAGTATTGCTACCCACTCGATTGCGACGTTCAGCTCTGAAGATGGATGTGATACGTTCTATCGAAACGTTGGTAACCACCTACGAGAGTGAACGATGTCAGAATTCCAAAGATTATATAATAACCTTGATTTCATCGTCACGAAAACCCTCACATCTCATCTCGTTACGTCACGTTTTCCTGCGTGGTCTGACGAGTTCAGTTTCAAAAGTTGGCGAAATAAAAACTAAGGCGTATATACGAGTCTTTAGTATCAACAGGCAGGATAAGTAAGTATGGAATGATTATTGAAAACACAGTTAAAACTGACAGCTCCATCTTTTCACAATTGGAGAGCTGTAGTTATCTTTCAGGATCCAACACTTCTTGACGTCACCGGAAGTAAATGAAGTCATGTAGGTGTCATAAAATCAGCCACGTGGGCCAAGAAAACCGCTATAACACGATAATACGTATTGAGTTTCAGATTCCACGGATCCAGGTTGCGCTGTCATGCTGACAGAGCTAAGCTTTCCATCTGCGCACTGCGATATATCTCACTGTACATTAGCATATAATTTATCCTACTGCTCAGAAAGAAATCTCGTCTTTTACCACCTTAACGCGGACGCTTGCACGCACGAAGCTGTGGGCTTAACATGATTATGCAAATGTATTGACGCTATTGACAGCAGCGCGTAAATACAAGTCGAAGCTTTCTTCATGCCTCCCGAAACAGAAGTGACAAGTGAAGCAGATTAGGAACCACTTAAAGGTACAAGAAACAACTGATTTCCATAAGAAAAAAACGCGAGAGCTTGGTTTTGTGCTGGGTTGTTTGCATAAAAAAATAAAGAATAGTGGATTAATTTCATCATGTTTATGGACGTGATTCAAAGCGAAAGAGACAAAATGGAAGATGATGAAACAAAATTGGGAGAAGCGATGAAGGGAAAAATTGAAAGGTAAAGGTAAAGATATCCCTGTAACTGGCCGTGAGGGCCCATAGGTTTGTGAGACGTCGAGGCCTCCACATTTTCTAGATAATCGGCTCACAGATGGCGGTGAGGTTGTCAGCCTTAGCGCCTGCCGAATTTTACTCCCCAGGAAGATCCCTGTAACTCATTTCTGTTAGAGGCTGAGTCGACCCCAGGGCCATAGTGCGGCTGGAAGGATTAGATCAATTGAAAAAAAAATCCACCT